TGGAACTCATGAAATGTTTGTTTGGGTTTGATACCTATTAGTAACGCATGTGTAGGTTCTATCTGATTTGTTGTATGTTGGTTTAATTGTTGTTGGTAGTTAGGTAGCGTCTGTTGAGTTTTAAAATTTAATTTGAGATTTTGCGAAAAATTAACTCTGATTTTTATAAATTTATTTGGTAAGTTCTTTAAAATAAAATGGGGCGTTACATTCTCGTTTCAATATATCACAAGTTTAGGCAACCAATATTCTGACAATCTTTATCCCAACAAACAAAGGTTGCACTGGCGGAAGCATCGGAAACACCAAATTGAATTTTGTACCTAGATATGAAACAAAATATGATTGGAATTTACAAATTATACAGTTCATATTATATATATTTCATATATACATATGAAAAAACAATAATAAAACTACTGTTCACAAACCGAAATGTGCCGCGAGTGTGAGAGCACTTCCGGCATGTATAGCTCCCATTATCATTCTCTATCGAGCAGTTGCATCTCACACATGCAAGGTACCACCAATCGTCAATAATAGAATCAATAGTCGCGCAAACCCAAGTATCCATTGTCTACAAAGTAAATTTACATACCAAGTTAATATACATACAAAATCAACAACTTCTAGTATACTTATTATTATATTTTAAATTGAACCCACTTAATAAAAAGAATTGTATTAAAATATTTTTTAATATATTTGTAATTAATTAAAGACAATTATTTCAATTTCAATAATAATTAAAATGTTGATGTTCCAACGTATTGGTAATAACATAATTAATATTACATCGACATACTCAAATAGAGAATCAACAAAACTAACAATGTCGTCACTGTCATCAAGACTTTGAGCTACTTGAAAACAACTTGGTATCCTTAATTTGACTTTTCGCCAGCCTTGGTAGACAATTAAAAAAATCACTATAAAATAAATTTTTTTTTTACACAATTCTCGAAAAAATTGTATCTATAATCTAACAAATAACATATACCTTCTCTGGAATTCTTGAATTTCGGGAACGTCCATGATCAAGGTCACATCCTTTGATGTGGTTATTTGAACATCACCTATTACATAAGTCATAAAATATTTTGATATTCAATTCAATATACATAGACAATTATTAGTATAAAGCTAATGGACGAATATAATAATGAAATACAATCGAAGTTAACCTCTCCATTCTCTTGCACGACACATTTGCATGATGATGACAAAAAGTGACCCATCATTTTCATAATGATGCTCCAAAGCAACCAACTGATCAACATATCGCCCCCAAACAGTGCATTCATTTATATTCCCCCTAGAAAATGTAGACAAAATATTTATTTATTAAATCGGAAATAGGAAATTGTTTTTTTAAACATGGAATCGGATTGTTAAATATTTATAATTAATTCGGAAATTGAAAATTTTAAATCAGAAATCGGAATTTTTTTTTATAAAATTAAATTGGATTGTTAAATTGTTTGTAATTAATTCGGAATTCGGAAATCGCAATAAAAACAGAAATATGAAATTTTTTAATTAAATAAAAAAATTGGAAATTTTAATTATATCGGAAATCGGGAATTTACTTTCAACAATAATCGCTTACTTTTTTTTAAGTCAATCGGAAATCAAAAATATTTAGAAAAACCAATCAGCACAATATCTTTTAGCACGACTTTAACTAAAAAAACATATAAAAGGTTTGAATAAATAAGATAAATATAAAGGGTACAAATGCTTACTCCAAGTCCACAATAGAGAATACTATCATTTGGGTCGGAACTTCCTTGACAACTTTGATTTGAATAGGTTGTCATGAAACAACCAATCCAATAATATCTATACCATCATTAAAAAACGAATTTATTCAAAATGTAACATATATAATAGTGTTGTATATTACCGAATCTATATATATTTAAAAATAAAAGTACGAAATAGAACATAAAGAAAAGAATGTTAACTTACCAAACAACATGGCTTCTTCAATATTACGAACATCCATCAAGGTTAGGAAGATTCTAAACTCAAAACGATGCATAGGAAAACCCCCTTCCATTTGACAATCTTGGTCATGCCATGGATGATGATCCTCCATTTTCCTATACTCGATTTATAGAGGCCAATATTGCTTTCAACTTGATAGTTTGTCAAGACATACTTTCCACCTTCTTCAATATCGCCAATGAATTTTTGACTATTACAGGCCGAATTATTCCAGTAATTCGTATTTTTTTTTCCAAAAACAAAACCAACCATTTATAAGGAATGTGAGAAAAACAGAAGACTACAAAAGCATGACTTACTGCATATTAGTTATTACATTCTACAATGCCTAGAATTAAGGCCAACCATTTTATGGCTGAGAAATTTTACAAATACACCTGAGTTGATTTCGTTGCAAATATCTAATACACCCCCAAAGAAAAAAAAAATGATCTTTTCAATCAGATTTTTCAGACTTCAGCTGTGGGGAGTCGTTCTTTCTAGCAGCTGATGGCTCATCCTTCTCAGGTCGAAATAGTATACCAAACACCCAAACTGAAGCTAAAGTGGCCTCAACGGGTGCAAGCCAATAGACGATCAAATGCTTCTTGGTTATGTGCTCCCCATTAGCAAAAGCCCACCCCATTACAGAGGTTGGATTCATGCATCCCCCAGTGAGATCCGAGCCAAGAAGGTGAAGAGTGAGCTTGGAGAGACTTGAAATCCTAGTTTTCATAAAGAAACTGTCGCTAACTTTTCTGGACAGACCAAGTGATATTATCACAATTGAAAATGTCAGAAAACCTTCGGTCAATTCTCCCTTTGCAATATCAATGTTCAAGCGTGGCCCACGTCCTATCCCGAGAACTGTTTGCAAGATGAGCCTCAAGCCGTAAATTGATCCAACTATCTGTGCGGTAATTCTGGCCCCAAGAGTGAATAGAAAATTGGGAAAATCACCGGACACGGCGGCGGACAAGACGGTGAGGGGGTTATAAGCCCCGCCCTTGGTGGCCTTCCCCACGAATGCGAAGAAGAACATGTTCATGAGGGAGACGGCGTATCTGACCACCTCGCCCTTCACGTCGTGAGCGGTGTAGCCCAAGATCCTGTGCACGAATATCTTGACGATCACGCTTGACCAGACCCACATGAAGGACATCGCGAAATCTGCGGCTAGGAGACGCCGCCGCTGGCCGTCGGCCTCCATTTTTCCGGTGCTCTGGAGGGAATGGATACACGCACTCGGGGGGTGTGCGAAAGGAGCTGATTGGTCTTCCGCTCGTGACTATTCCATTAAATCGTAATCCCTAAACAATAACATTGGATTACTTAAGTATTAAATCATTTAATAAACAGAATAAAATAAGTTAAAATTTAAATTTAAATACATTATGAATGTGTGAACATATTACCTCTGAATCATGAAAGATAATCTCTAAAACATTCCGGTAATTGTGAACGTCTTTAACTCGTTGGAACATCCGAATTATGTGTAGCTTGATTGGTAGCTTATTGGATCTGTGGATATCCTTGATGACTCCAAAATTCAAAGACATGTTGAGATGATGTTAAAAAGCTTCGTAAAAAAGGTTTTATTGCGATTTGTGTATGATATAGAATATGTCGTTGAAGATTGTTAATATTTATATAGTAGTCATAATTAACTTTACGATTGTTGTGGATTTTTAAGATATTTGCGGATTATTGATTTGTACTAATCTTATTAAGGGATAATACCCGAGTTATGTTATTAGGAATATCCCATCAATTCAAATCGGATCTGCTTTCATATAATAATGATTAGTTGGCAAATTAAAAGACAATTCGATGCAAAAAATATGGCAAAATATCGGTAAGATAATTTGGTAACCTATGTATGCAATTTTGAAGCAATTGTTAACAAATTTTTGATAGTTTAGGTAAAAAAAAAAAAAAAAAAAAAATTAGTTAAAAAAATGGGAAAAGACATGTGCAAAAGAACACTTAAGTGAGATAATTTAGGCAAGGCAATGTCATTTTTGTTAACAAAATAAAAAATCTAACAACAATTGTGGTGTCATTCGTTGAACAAATTCCGAATCATTTTAAATATGCGAATAATCAGCGCCATTAGTTAACAAAATCCGCTTTTTTTTGGTAAGGCAATGGAACACAAAAAAAGTAGAATATAATCAACTAAAAAATCTGTTCCAAAATTTTGAAATCGTATTAACAAATCCCACAAAATCCGAAAAAATGTGTAACAAAATTTCGAAATGCAAGGATTGATTGGTTTTATTAATTATATAATTCTGTTTTTTCTTAATTTTATGTTAATTAAATAAACGGGTGGGATCTCCATAGTTATTGCCTAAAGAAGTATTTATTACTTAAAGAAGTAAGTCAAAGCTTTATTTTTTAAAGTCAACCTTACTATTTTTGTATTTTTTCAATAATCTTTTTATATTACTATAGATTAATTAACTTAATTAAGAAGGTAATATTCCTACTAGAATCTTCTCTAGGGTTAGGAGACTTAGGAGTCTTCTAGAAGATGAAGATTAGTAGGAGATTTATTTCCTACATTGGATTATTAATTGGAGTAGAATTAGGATTCCTAATTAGGAATTAATTTTCCATGAGTAATACTTTAATTAGGAAAAGTATTCCTACTAGAATCTTCTCTAGTGTTAGGAGACTAAGGAGTCTTCTAGAAGAGGTAGATTAGTAGGAGATTTTTTTTCCTACATTGGATTAGTATTTGGAGTAGAATTAGGAATCCTAGGCCTAATGGGATAAACCCATATTTAACACCTCCTTAAGGTCCCTAATGGAGCCTATAAATACACCAGGTCCCAATCTCTCCTACAAGTTTATGCTGCCCGATTTTTTCACCTCTACATACGTGAGAAATAGCATTGTTCGAGAGTTAGGGAGATTCGATTATACGCTCCACCATGTTTAATCGAAGTAGGTGTTTAGGTAATCCGTTAGAAAAAGGCTTTTTGGTACAATATACTGAGCCTTTATACATATTTATTTTTCGGTCACCTCCTCAGCCAATCGCCGCCATGAGAAGTCGCCGGAGACCGCATACCGCCTCCAGAAACTGCTCGAGTCCAGCCAAGCGCAGTCGCCCGCCAACCCATGCAACCGCGCATCGCCGGACCCTACCAGCGTCGCCCAGCGACGTTCAACCCTACACGCGAGGAAGCCCAGTGCCGCCTGTCTGTGTTGGAACCCACGAGGATCTCGATATGCACAAATCACAGACAAAAATTCAACATAA